CGGCCGGCCAGCGCGCACGCGCGGACTTCCGGCGCGGGCGGGAGTCTACCCCTTGGCCGCCCCGCGACCCCCGGCCGGCGCCGGGCCCGCGTGAAACTTGGCCGGGTCGAGTGCACAGGCCGCCTTCCGGGAGCAGCGGCCCCTCTCTCTGGGAGTGGCGGGAAGGAAGGCCGGACCCATCTCGAGGCGGGGGCCGCTGGCCAAAGTTTTGACCCCGATTAAGGCTGCGAGTGGAGCCCTGCGGAACCCGCGTGGCCCAGGCGCTGCGGCGCGGAGGCGGCTGGGCCGGGAAAAGGCTCTCGGGAACGACCACAGGGGGGCGCAGCGCGTGCGCGCCGGAGCCTCGGAGGCCCGGCCGCGGGAAGGCGAGTGGGTAAAAGTCGAGCCACTGTCCAACATTCGCTCCGCTACGGGTGGCCTCGCAACTTATTCTAGAACGGTGCGGGTGTACCTCCCTGCTCCACGGATGCGACGAGCGGTGCAGCCAGACGCACGGTGACAACAGAGCTCTCAGGGAGGGCTGAGAAGGGTCGAGGCACAAGTGTGCCGTAAACAGAAAACCAGAGTGGGAGCCCAGGCTGTAGGTGATAACAGTGACCTGAACGGCCCGAGAAGGGGAGATTATCAAGTACATTCTGTTAGTTTCATATTCTGTAACCTTGTGGCTGAAAAGAAAGCAGGAAAATTTTATTCGCTGATAACATAGAAAACTTCCGTTGAAAACGTATTTTCTTTGGCATAGCCTCGGAATGCGTTTACAAAGGAAGCCCTCCCTTCTCCCCTCCAAGCCGCATGCGCAGAGCTCTGTAAGCCTCCTGGATGCCTGAGAAGTCCCTGTCCTTGCGGCGTCCAGTGGGCTTGTTCCAAAAAGTTGTCCTTAGGCCACATCGTTCTGATTATCTTCACTGTGCTTCCAGGTTCTTCACGTGTGTGTGGAGCCTTTTAAATTTCTCTGCCCAGAGATTTCTTCATTAAGGAAGATCACCGACTTTCATAAAAAGGCTATTATGCCTTTTTAAGGGACAATAAATTTGTAAAGGGAAATTATTTTTCTTGCCATGCTAATTAATAATACCTTGTACTTTATATTTCCTGAATTTGCATTTTCAGATGTCTTAATTGGAGCAGGGTACTATTTTTAGACACTTTTTAAAAAAAATAAAAGTGCTATTGGAATGCTTGGATTCTGAAACAATGTATCAAATGGATCCAATGTTACCCTCTTGGATTAATTTTGACTTTATTACCCATTAGATTAAAATAAACCTAATTCAACATCTATTGAAGGTAATACAAATAATTTGTTGACTTTTTTATTTTTTTTTAAGCTGAGCCTCCTGCCACCTATTGGCAGCTCAGCGGCTGCTCAGCTGGGCCGGGCATCAAACCGCTATTACTCAGAGCTCAAACTCTTGCGCGAGCTCTTAACCAACTGAGCCACTTGGCCGGCCCTAATTTTTTAAATAATTAGAAAAACACATGGAAAAAGAGGTTCAATATTTGAAAGATAGGATTGCTAGTCTGTCTCCTGTACATGGACGGCGTGGATTCAGGAATTGCCTTTTGTCTAGGACTAGCTTGCCAAACAAAACACTTGTTGGATGAATAAAATGAGTGATTGCATGAATGGATGCAGGAGAAACCATAATCAAGTGATGACTTCTAAGACTGTCCTGTAGTGCACTTGAAAGCCACTTGCTTCTTGCCCTCTTCTCTTATAGTCTGGAGGACAAAGACTCATCCCTGCTCTGTTTCATCTTGTCTCGCAGAGCTTCTCCTAGAGCCTGGCTATGGAAGCTTGTTGAATTGAATTGAATGAGTAACACCTATGTTGAAGACACAGCCCATGGGTTTTTATCAATTCCACCAGTGCTGACTGAGTCCCCCTCTTTTCTTGGCCCCCAAAGGGAGAATCCCAGAGAGGGGCAGTGTAGGGTGTTAGTTAAAAACATGGTAACTTTAGGCCCAGATTCCAGTCTTTGCTCTGACACCCTGTGATCGCGGCCAAGTTAGTAGACCTTTTTGAGTCTTGGTTTCCTCATCCCTAAAATGAGAGTAATAAACACATCTACCCCAGGTTTGTACACGTTAAATAAAACAACGTATGTAAAGTATGTGACAATTATTTCCATCTAAGTAATTGTTCAATAAGGGTTCAAAGCAGTGGATGCTGTTTAAGGGGCACAGCAAGGCCCTCTGTCTCCCAAAGCTTGAGGCTGCCCGTCTAAGATATGGCTTGAGGATGCGAGGGAGTAAAATGTACAGCTGTGTCATCTTCGGACCAGTCCCACTGGGCTTCACGCTGCTCAGCTGTCTGAACAGTTGGTCCTCCCCTGAAGTTCCCTGCTTCCCACATGTGATGCCCATTTGGCAGGTCATTAAGCCTGGATAAAAGAGCAGGCAATTCCTTGTGCCCTCCTTCCCCCGCAAAAAGAAGGATGTTTCATACACACGGAGGGAGGAGGAGCAGAAACTAGAACACTCACGGAAGGTTACATGCCAGATGTCATTTCCTCTTTATAACTGTGCGATCCACCAGAGCAGCAAACGCAGCTTATCCATGTCTGTATCCTCAGGCCAGTGCCTGCCACTTAGTGGTGGATGCTAGGAAGAGAAAAAGGAAACTGAAAGCTGCATTTCAACAACTGTTGGGCACTGTGCACAGATGAGCCTACGAATTCATTGAGTCAAGGTTATAAAGAATATAGGTGAAGCATTACAGTTACTGACCTCCTTGAATATGCTTTTGTTTTCAGGAGTTCCAGAGGCACCAGACAGGTACTTCTGTATGGGACACTAGAAACACTGTGCCGAGGCAGACAGATTCCAAGGACCGGGACCCATCTGAGCAACTCCTCATGAGGAAGCCCTGGTCTGGCTCCAGGCTGCAAACCCAACCCTGTTCTCACTACTAGCACCACTTGGGGTATTTGAAATAAAAAGTTTGAATTAAAAAAAAATAACAACTTTTTTAAACTTTGAGGATGGGGTGAGAGGAGAATAAAAGTTAGAAATGAGCATAAAATAAAGAGAGTGAGCATAAAATAATAGAGGAAAACAAGTAAATGCCCAAAATAAGGCTTTAGCAATATTAAAGTATAAGGACCGGGGAACATTGTTAAATGTGCAAGGAGACGTGTAATTTGGTCAACAGAAGACGATGCTGGGAACTGATTTCCTTAATCTCTACATCGGCGTTTTAAAGGCCCCAGGTAAAATTTCCTAATTTCTCCCTTTTCCTCTCACCTGCTCTCCTACCCACAGAGGTACAACGAAAGGAGAATCTTGACTGTGGCATCTAATTCCCATTTCCTTGGACCAGGTCACTTGATCTCTTTATTGGAGATGTGTCTTGGGGTCAAGTTCTAGACCCTGGCCGTTGTTCCCCTCAGCAGTTGCTCCTGTCAAGAGAGGAACCTGCATACCTCACAGAACCCAAAAATGGGTGCAACCAAGTGTATCTGTGTAACACTCACCTCTCAACAGATGCTAACATTAACTTGTCACTGTGTTATAATATTTCCCTTTAGTCTCTGATGAGGACAAATGTAAATTGCTGCTTTATTGCTTTTCACGTTTTATCTGATGTCTTTCTCATAGCTGACCTCGTAATTTAAACTGTTCACACTCCAGTGAGTGTTTTTGAGAAACCGAGAGTTCATTATCAGTCCTAGTTAGAGTATGTCATCAAGAACCACTTCTTTTCAGAGGGGCCTGTCTCCCTGAAATGCAATTCCGGTTATTAAGCCCTTACTAGGTCCTTAGTGCCTTAGTAGATATTAGCGATGTGAAAAATTCAAGTAAGTCCTCATCCCCAAAAGTCTTACAGTTTTGTTGGAGAGGCGGGGTAAGGTAGAACAAAACCTAGTTCCATAGGAAAATATGTGATTCAGAGCATAAGTACTGAAAGTGCTCCAAAGGGAACAGACCATGGCTGACATGACTAAGGAGTTAATTATTAGGGAGAAGATGAAAGGTGGTCTAGGCCTTGTTAGAACAATAGATTTTGTTTGACCAGAAGGAAGCATGAAAAAGGCGTTAGAGACACCAGCATGTTTGGGAAACCCTTGTGTGCCTGGCACACAGTAGGTGCTCATAGGAGCATCTTAAACTTTGGAATGAGGAAGGGAAGAAGCAACAAATGTAAGTTTGAGGAATAAACAAATGGATTTAAAAGTGAATAAGCGAATGGAGTAATAATTGGAGCATAAAATGCTCCAAGTGCCCCAACACGGATCCTGGTTCTCAGAGCCCCACGGATCTAGCTAGCCCTGAGCAGTCTCCCCTGAAGGATGCTGGGCTCCCCTCACACCCCCGTGGCCTTAGGAATACTGGGAGCCCATGAATCCCACCTCCAGCTTCTATTCTGGGCCAGGACTTGCTTGCATCAAGCAGGCCTTTGCTGACACCTCACCAGAAGTCTGAGCCTCCTTCTCACCTGTCCCCAGACACAGATAAAATGGGGGACTGATTCAGGTAGACACCTTGTGGTCAGTCATCCATCCCCCGTTCTCCAGGGTAAGCTTCTGGATGTACCACATGATTTACCATCTCACTCCCAAGCCGTTCCCTCTACCCAACCTCATCATGTGCTCCCTGCAAATGTTAAAAAAATTAGTTCCCCTTATTGCAACTTTACGGGTCATAAATTTATAACTATTTGGACAAAGGCATGTGTTTCTGAAGCTATTGCATGAATAAGATGGTTGAGAAAGAAAG